TATTTGCGCAGAGTCCCAGATCAATGTACAGCCTGTTTGCCAATCATAAGTAATGAAAAATAACAACTCATGGCCTCTCCGAATTCAAAGCCTTCTTGCAGGTGATAGGGTTGCTCATGGAATAAATACTATATATACCATAAGTCTCTGTGTGTGTGTGTGTGTGTGTTTGTGTGTGTATACCTCTTTCCCCCCAGATATAAACATACACTTTCAATCTTTTTGGGTAATTTTATGAATAGATATCAATTTTATATGAGTTAAAACTGTGTGCTTCCCCTGAGCTTAAAACCATACAGTTAGGGATATTGTTGTGTATAGGCCAACCTTTTAAAATATTTTTTATATGGCTGCACTGTGAGAGGGGAAATGTATAATTCTTTCTTTCCTTCCTTCCTTCCTTCCTTCCTTCCTTCCTTCCTTCCTTCTTTCTTTCTTTCTTTCTTTCTTTCTTTCTTTCTTTCTTTCTTTCTTTCTTTCTTTCTTTCTTCTTTATTGGCCAAGTGTGAATTGGACACACAAAGAATTTGTCTTTGGTGCATATGCCCTCAGTGTACATAAAAAGACAAGATACATTTGTCAAGAATCATAAGGTACAATATTTAATGATAATCACAGGGTACAAATAAGCAATAAGGAAACAATCACTATCTATATAAATCATAAGGATACAAGCAACAAAGTTACTTGTATCATGCATGACTTGTATCATGCAGTCATAAGTGGGAGGAGATGGGTGATAGGAATGATGAGAGGATTAATAGTAATAGTAATGCAGACTTAGTAAATAGTTTGACAGTGTTGAGGGAATTATTTGTTTAGCAGAATGATGGCATTCGGGAAAAAATTGTTCTTGTGTCTAGTTGTCTTGGTGTGCAGTGCTCTATAGCATCGTTTTGAGGGTAGGAGTTGAAACAATTTATGTCCAGGATGCGAGGGGTCTATAAATATTTTCACAGCCCACATCACAGGAGTGTTGGTAGAATGCAATAGCCAGAGTCTAAAGTTATAGTTGCCTGAGCTGTACCATAACACAAACAAGCCTCCAAAGGAAAGATTAGATTAAAACTCTGCATGGTTTTGATTTCATCCTATAGCATTCAGTAGTGAGTTAGAATGTGTAAAAGAGTGGATTCTGGTTCCTGGAAAGTATCTTCTTTTATTCTTGCTTGAGTGGGTGTTTTAGGAATGGTTCTTCCATTCCTGGAAAAAAAAATTCCAAAACAGGAAATTATATGCAATGTTTTGGATGTAGTCCAGCCCTGAAACAAAGCGATGTTGGGCCTGTGGTGATTTGTCAATCCGAACAGGCCAATGCAGGGGCAATGCTTCCCAGTGTATTTTCCAGAAGAAGAAGAGATCCAGCAGAGGAAGAGCTGAGGAGATGAAGATGGAGGTGGAAGTCCAGTCTCGGAGGGATTCAGTTTAAGAACAATCCTATCAGGGAGGCAGGGTTAGGAACAAGTTTAATGCCAGAGCAGGCAAGCATTGCCTGTGAACCTGTCTGTAATCCATTTAAAGACATTTAACAAAAGTCAAAGTGTTCCTTGTTGAACCAAGTGATTGCCTTGTCCCTTTCTTCTCCACCTCGTGATGTTGCCTGAGAAACAAAGAAATAAAGGTAGGGAAAGAAAAGAATGTCTAATCCAGAAAAGGATTTAGTGGAAACAGCAAGACAAATAGCATCTGCAGAACTCTCCCAGAGTTAATGGGCTTTTACTTAACTTTTAAGCAACAAAAAGATTATCAGAAAAAGACACCCACAGCCAGGGGCATATGCAGCTGGGATAGTCTGTTATTTTTCTCCACCATCTCTGCTTTCCAGGGTGGGTTTTTGAATTTACAATTTTGGTGAGAAAGATGAAAAGCAGATCTAAGAATGTTGGAGATGTGCTTTAGCAGGTGGTTAGCTCTGTTGTCAAGACAAATGATCCTACAGCACCGCTGAGGGTGATTGGGATGAAAAACACAGGTTTTTCTTCAACAGGCATCCTTTGCAGGATTCTTTTATTTATTTATTTATTTTTCAAACAAAAAAACAACATAAAAGCATCATCTTTTCAAACAATTACAGACAGTGTTTCGGTTGGTTAAAATCTTTTCATGCTCACAAACTCTTCAAGATATCATCAATATAAGACACATGTTTCTTTTCCACTAAGAAAAAACCAAATTTTTACACATTTTATCTTAATTTCATTTCATATATCATATTTCATCTCCATGTTTTATTATCTATCCATTGATAAAATAAGTCCCATATCAAATAATATTGTTTATCTTCCTGTTCTCTTATTTCAAATTGTCAATTTACTCATTTCAGCACAATCCAACATTTTCTTAATAATTTCTTCATCAATAGGTATCTTCTCTCCTTTCCAATTTTTGGCAAATACAATTCTAGCTGCTGTTAAAACATTCACAATTAAATATTGTAATTCTTTATTAAATGTCTCTGGTAAGATCCCTAATAAAAATGTCTCTGGTTTAAAGTCAATATGTCTCTTTGTCATTTTTTCCAACCATGTGTATATCTTAGTCCAATATCTCCTTGCTTCTATACATGTCCACCACATATAGTAATATGATCCTGGGGTCTGATGACATTTCCAACACTTCTCTGATTTATTCTTAAACATTCTGTCTATCCTCACCGGGGGTAAGTGCCACCTGTAAAACATCTAATACAAATTCTCCTTATATGCTGTAGACATTGTCATTTTATAATTATGCGACCACAATTTTTGCTATTTCTCTAAGTCAATACCATAACCAATATTTTTCCCCCACGCTATCATTGATTCTTTAACTTGTTCTTCTTCCAATTTTACCTCTAGCAAATATCTGTATAACTTTTTAATTACATGATCATCAGAACCCATTAAAATCTTATCTAAATTAGTCAAAACATTATAAAAACCCTCTTGTTTGAGATCTTCTCGATATCTAGAAAATATTTGCGTATATGAAAACCAGTCCATCTTACATCCCTGATCTTCTAGTTCCTGCTCCTTTGCAGGGTTTTTGTACAGGTAGTCCTCAACTTACAACCACAATTCAGCCAAAAATTTATGTTGTTAAATGGGTTTCGCCCAGGGGTGAAATGCTCCCAGTTTGGACCGGATCGCCTGATCCGGTAGCGATGGAGGCAGGTGGTTTGGAGAACCGGTAGCAAAAATCCCTGCCCCCCCACCATTGCTCAGCTGAGCCGCACAATCATCAGAGGCTTTTTTTTTTTATTTTTAAAAGCATTTTTTCTACAACCTCTTTGGCCGAAAAAAATGGTTTTAAAAGTAAAAAAAAAAAAAAAGTTGGCCACGCCCACTCAGTCATATTACACCCCCACCACCAAGCCACGCCCACAGAACCGGTAGTAACAAATTTTACATTTCACCACTGGTTTTGCCCCATTTTACAACTTTTCTCACCACATTTGTTAAGTGAATCACTGCAGTTGTTAAATTAGCAACACAGTTGTTAAGTGAATCTGGTTTCCCTATTGACTTTGCTTGTCAGAAGCTTGCAAAAGGGGGATCACATGATTCCGGGACACTGCAACTGTCATAAATGTGAGTCAGTTGTCAAGCATCTGAATGTAAATCACATGACCATGGGGATGCTACGGTGGTCATAAGTGTGAAAAATGGTCATAAGTCATTTTTTTTCAGTGCCATTGTAACTTCGAACGGTCCATAAATGAACTGTTGTAAGTCAACGACTACCTGTACCAGGGCAAGTTGTATACTATGATACACTGATTAATTTCAGGACTTCCAATAGATGAATGGCCTTGGCTTGGATTGCATTCTTGGTCAATAACAAGTTCTCTTACCAGGCTACTATGCACAGCTAGGAAAGATAATGAACTTTACTCTTACCCCCAAGAGCAACCTGGAGGTAAATTTTGCTGGTGGTCTCATTGCCCCTGTGTTACTTCTGCCTCCCGGAGACTTTCCCCCGAGACCCTGTTGATATCCCCTAAGAAACTGGAGTAGATCCAGGAATCTCTGGTTACCTCTAGCTGGAATGACACCTACTCTAAATATAATCTACCTCTTAGAATTTTTGTAGGAATAAAATGGAAGGAAATTCAACTTTAATACACATATACATAAATAATAAGAACGTTTATGACTGCTACAAAAATTCAGACTACATCAATTTTTTGTAAAAGAAAAATTATACTTAGTGGAATAATTATTCCTGAATTCCCCATAGCGTCCCCAATATACATATATTCTCTCTCTCAGTGTGTGTGTATGTGGGCGTGGCTTGGTAGGTGTGGTGTGGCTTGGTGGGTGTGGCAGGGGAAAGATACTGCAAAATCTCCATTCCCTCCCCACTCTGGGGCCAGCCAGAGGTGGTATTTGCCAGTTCTCCGAACTGCTCAAAATTTCTGCTATTGGTTCTCCAGAACCTACTGGATTTCACCCCATATATGTGTGTATGTGTGTATGTATGTATATATATTTCCCCTGGCTCAAGCTGATGAAGGGAGGAGAACTTGTGGCTCAGAAGGTTAATTCAACTGCCTAACATGCAGGAAGCCCAAGTTCTAATCCGAGTAAGGGTATGGCTAGCTGATGAAAGCTAAAAAGCTTTAAATAGATCTATACTAGTCTCCCTTTATTTCTTTATCAGCAAAATATAAATTTGGTATAAAATGGTTTGTCGTGAATGCAACTGCTTGAGGGCTCCTGGATTGGAGCTGAAAGGCAAAAGAGAGCAGAATGCCCCCTCCCACATGTTGGGGTAGACCAGGTGTCCCGGTAAACATATATATATATATATATATATATATATATATATATATATATATATATGATGTATGTATACACACACACACTGATATATATATAACATATACTATACACACACATAACATATACAATATACATATAACCTCTTCAATCTGAACTCAGTTCTTGGCAAGATGTCTGTGTCATAGAAGTGGTTTTCTGTTATATTTTTAATTTCATCTTTTTAATAGGCATATAAAATGAGATACAGCAATGTTTATTCCTCTCCTGCTCAGCATGACACCAACTATGTGAATATCAGCATCCACAAGTTCAAGGGAATCAAAAAAAGGCAAGGTGGCCAAAGTTGTACCCCTTTGATGTTGCACTCAACAAGGGCATTTGGTTGCATTTGAATGCTGCTTCCACCTCTGTGTTGACCTCTTTCCCCTGCAGATGTCACTGCAGGTGAAATAGGAAAGATGGATAGATAATCACTCCATATGGTTCATGATTGAATCAAGAGACAAACCTGGATTTGCTCAAATTATTCCTACACTCTGACCATTACACAACAGCCACATGTCTGATAAATCTAATCTGAGATGATGCATAGCGAATGAAGAAATTGCAACTTTAACAGAATCAATTCATGTAGGGACAATACCGTTCTTAGTTAAATTTCCTTGGAATTGGTCTATATGGAGTAGATCATTAACTGTTCTAGAGTGGCTAAATTTATAGACAAAGATGATTGTGTAAGTGGAGCCCAAGGACTAATATCACTGAACATTGTTTTCAGTACATTCTCCTTTTCGAAATTGGCTGTTTGAAATGCTGCTGCTGCTGCAGTTGTGTAAGAGACATAAGCAATTCATGACCTTCCGACAACACTTTGGGAAGAGTTGCAGTAAGCTGGAGGACCTGAAAAAAGGAAAGATAAACCACAGAAGATGCTGAGTTTTGTTCAAGCTGAAGCCGGTGCTTCAGGCTTTCAATCCAGACCGACAGTTGAAAGAGAGAGAGAGATAAGGAGGGAGAGAGGGAGAGAGAGAGGGACACAGAGAGAGAGATGTGATCATCTGTTGCAGAAAAACAACAACAACGCATCATTCTAGACAACACGGGTATTTTGTGGATCACGGGTATACTGTCGTTTTTACACTGATGATGATACAACTAACTGATCACATCAAGAGTAAACCTTCCTTGTGCTGTATTAAAGGAAGCTGCCAAAAGACTTCTTAGTTATCCTGAAAAATTCAAAATATTTGTGGTTCCACATTGCCAATTAATGTGCTTTGCCAATTAAAAAAATATGCTGGGATGAAGAAAATGTGTTTTTTTCCCCCCACTTCTTGTATCAGCATTACTTTGGTGTGGTGCTTAAGAAGCTGAAAATACCAAATCATCAATCACTTATTTATATCTGTAAGCAACATTTTAAAGCCCCATGAAACAATTTGAAAGGGAATAAATATTAAAAGCTAATGATCCTCACTCTCTTGAGGTATTTTTGTAAAATAGGAGATATAAAATGAAGCCCTGGCTGTCTAATGATGTCATAATTGGGGAATTGCAATTGTGAAAAATATCAACATATACACACATTGTTTCTGAAGTCAAAGAAATACCCATTTCCCTCTCTCAGAAATAGCCAGAAGTTGATGATTTTACTAACAACTAGGCTATTATTAACTAACTCCAATTATTTTTGTTGCCACTTGCTACAATACACAGGAGGAAATGGACAAAACGTGCAAAACATGAATCTCCAGGATAAAATACACCAAAATCAGAAAGTATGGAAGATGGACAAGCTGACCAGGAAGTGCCTCAAAAGTGACCTCTCCCATTCTTTCTTTAATATGTTGCCTTTCTTGGGCTCATTCAGCCTTACATCTTGTTTGCTGTGGCTGAAAAACGCCTTACCTTCTCCTCTGCTTCATCTCCTCAGCCTGAAGTCATCTTTAGGTGTTCAATTTGAGAAAACTTTTCTTTCTTTTCCTGTCAGAAAACATATTACGTAGACAATTTAAGGAAATTGGACATGATGAGGTCAGGCTCTGATCTGATCCACTCTTATTGGTCTGTCCTCTCCCTGTCCATACCTAGCTAATTAGGGTCCTTCCATCTTGGTTGGAGGAGAACATGAACCTCTGGCTAAATTCCACTACTTTTGAGATATGATTGTGTATCAAGAGATTGATAGACGTATCTCAAATTAAATAGACTTAAATATTAAAACACAAATGTAATGGCTTAAAATAGATATCCCAGCAAGGTCTTCCTGTTAAGGAGAGTAATACAAACTGTGGGATGCAAACTCTTCTCCCTCACAAATTTTCTCAACTCCTTTCAGTTGGGATTTCAGTATGGCAGCAGTTAAATGATAGTTGTGAAGTACTCTCTCCAATGTTGATAGCTTTGAAGATGTAGACACAGGAATCGCTTTAGCATGAGAGAGGACAGAAGATCATCCACCAATCACTGTCCTGAAACTGCCTTCCCAAAATTGTGAGCAAATGAGCTCCGTGATCATCTCTGTCCCTGAGGTATGTTGAAGGTAGTCTGTGAGGACAATGCTCCTCACAGTGTGTGTGTGAAGAAAATCATGTGGGAAGCAGTTCACAACTCTGAAAGAAAAACAAAGCCAAATCAAATGCTGTCTTCTGTGAGAATCTATTGGATTTTAGTTTAAATGTTCTATGGCTAGGACCATAGAAGTATGATGATGCCTCCAATCTGGTAGCTCACAATCTCCCTAAATATCTTCTGCACAATGCTGGATACAGTAACTGACTGTATATATTTGGTACAGGAGCGATGATAATAAACCTTCTCTATATACAAGTATTCATGTTCGAGCTACATTGTTGTGACCTAGGCTTCCTGAGTCATTAAAACACACAAGTAGTCCCAAAAACCTCTTTTATTGCAATTATGTTCATTCACAGCTGAGTCCCAATTAGTTGCAAAAAATCCTTTGGGAGAAGTCCTTCGGGATAATCACCAACCTTTATCTCCCTTGACACTCTACCAAAGACCTATTTGGCAAAGCCACACGGATTCCAAAATCAAACAGAGATGCCGACTGGGAACAGAATTAACAATTCTGTTAATTTAACTGTGCCTTTGCTCCTCTTTTAAGCCTTATGGGTGGGGCCAATCATCTCCAGGCCTTACTCCCGAGTTGTCCCTTTTGATTTAACTGTTCATGCCTTCTGGCAGCTCTGTGCATGCGCGCACTGAGAACAGGCTCCTCCTGTTCCTCTGCCTCTCTGCTGTCCAACTCTGGAGGCTCCGGAGTCTGCGCATCACTCCCAGATGGCCCTGGCCCCATCTCTGCCTCTGACACAGAGCCCATCCGGGTCTTCCCCAGACTCCAGGACTGGCCCATGTTCCTCCCCAGCCTCCTCACTATTTGACTCCTCTGCCAGCTCCACAGGCTGCTGGCAGACCACAACATACATGATGTGGCTATATGGGCTGGGGGTTAGATGATTGATCAGAAAAAAATTAACATATTCACTGAATTGAACTGGTATTTTCATATGTAGGTATTAAACTTTATTACCTATTATATTAAAATAGGTAAGTATTGCACAAGTATTGCTTGATGATCTTTTAACATATTGGAACATGTTTTAGAATAAAAAATTAGATTTAAAGGAGAAAGAGATTGCTGAAATGCACTTAGCAGAAAACTTGGGAAATGCAACATGTTGTTTGATCAACATATTATAGAACACTTTTTATTTTAGTACTATTGCATCAATGTTTTAATACCAGCTTTTTTTTAAAAAAAAAGAAAGAAAATACACAGTTGGACAGGCAATTTAGCAGAAATTAAAAGTTTTTTAAAAAAAAATAAATTTGTTGACAGACTGTCAGACCTGATAAAAAAGGTAGCTCTACTTTTCAAGAGAGAGAAGTCAACAGCATAGGCTGCAGATTCTGAGGACTATGAAGGGGTAGCAAATCTTTCGTTGTTTATCCACCTATTACATTTTTGCTGAAGGGATTTTTTTTGGTTCATACAACTTTCACAGCTGGAGGGGGAGATCTCAAACTCAAATTATGATGAGTGCTGAAGAGGACAAGTTCACCAAAGCCTGTTCACACATTAAGTCAAGTCTCCTTCAAAGTGAAGGAAGAGTATCATTTGTATTTTACTAAATACATGCTTAGTAAAATAATGAAACCTAACCCTACCTTGAGCAAACCATATATTTTGTGTTGGGAGTATAGATCTGAACCAGACAGGGATGCCACATATTTAAATTTCATTCCCTGACAAATCCTCACATTTAGAAACAATATGCTTTAATGCAATGCTGGCTTGGGAATTCTGGAAGTTAAACTCCACATGTCTTAGATTTGCCAAACACTGAATTAAACAACAGACTCTTTCTGACTGAATACTTGAGGAAATGTGAGATTAGGAACATAAAACACACAGGAATACTTTAATTTAGATTTTTCATCACCCTATTTTTACTACCAGTTTTGTTTGAAAGAGCCTCCCTATTTTCAAAGATTCCCTCACCCCCCCCCCCCAGGAGAAACAAACAGGGTCTTTTGCATCTAGAACATTTTTGTCTGTTCTTCCAGGAATCCTTCTAGGAGGCTATCAATGAAAAAATTAAAGATAGAAGCTTACATTGAGGTTCCCTTTCATTTTACCTCATGAATAACCCTGTGAGGGAAGTTGGGCAAAGGGCGAATGAGCAGTCCAGTAAGTAAGCCCAGTGAACTCATAGTTTCTTGGTTTCTAGCCTGGTCTCTTAACCACCAAACCAAACTGGCTCTCTTATTACACCATGTGGGCTCTGATAATTAGAGAAATCATAAATTTAATTCATATAGCACATAAATGAAAATGAATTGCATTTTTGTGTGGTTGCGAAATTGGGCAATTTAGGGATTGCTTTCTTGCTGGTTTGTCATGTTTTCCTGTGGCTGTGTGAGAGGTAAAATCCCAAGATGTGAATCACCTCATTGCTTCTTTTACACTATTGGATCTGTTTTGTTCTTCTCAATCAGTATCTTAGTACAGTAGAACAACATGAGGCAGCTCTTAGCTGCTGTTTCAGAAAAGATTATGTCCCTTCAGAACAAGTTCCAAACTATAAAGATTCCACTCAGTCACAGTTGAAGATATGTGACAGAACTGCTCTGCCCATTAATATCATTGTGGGATTACTAAAGTCACAACCTGGTTTTACAAATGCCAGATGTCTTCCTGGGAAATACTATCTGCAATTTCCAAGATGGAACTCAGATTCTACTCTAAGCATGCCAAGTCGATATCCTTCACTTAAATGAAAAAAAAATATGGACTGTGGTCTGGATTGCACATATGTGTTTATCACGTCATTACTGTATGTCACCACAAATCATATTATTATATATACAACTTCAGTCTTGTTCAATATTTAATACTGTTCAGTGAACACTGTTGAAGTATCCATTTGCCAGCAATTATGAGGAGAAGTCAAATTAATATTCATGATAAATGTGTGATGTTTGCAGTGTAGTATTGCAGTGTAGTATTGCAAGTCATCTCTCAAAGCAGTCTTTTTATGAGATCAAATAAGTCTTTTGATGTGGTCAAACAACTGTCTTGTTTTAAATAATCTTTCACAAAGCTAGTGAAACTTTGAGGTCAGACCTTTTGCTATTCTCCTGGTTTTGATAAGTCATGAGTTCAAAAGTAAATATGTTTCCAAGAATGTTGAATGTTAAATGGGAACTAATATAATTTCAGAGATATGAGCTACTAAATAGGCTTTGCAACTCCATTGATTTGGATACAAGAAGATTGCAAATGCACCTTTCACTTCCCTTAAGAATAAGATGTATGGCTGTGAAAGTTGGACCATAAGAAAGGCTGAGCACCAAAGAATTGAGGCTTTTGAACTATGGTGCTGGAGAAGACTCCTGCGAGTCTCTTGGACTGCAAGGCAATCAAACTGGTCAGTCCTAGAGGAGATCAACCCTGACTGCTCTTTGGAAGGCCAGATCCTGAAGATACAACTCAAATACTTTGGCCATCTAATGAGAAGGAAGGACTCACTAGAGAAGAGCCTAATGCTGGGAACAATTGAGGTCAAAAGAAGAAGGGGACAGCAGAGAACGAGGTGGCTGGATGGAGTCACTGAAGCAGTAGGCGTGACCTTAAATGGACTCCAGAGGATGGTAGAGGACAGGAAGGCCTGGAGGTCATGATGGATTGGACATGTCTTCGCAACTAACAACAAGAAGAATAAGATTTGAAAAATTTCGCTTTGACTATATCGTGCCCTTAATATTCATTACATTTTTTTCCCTAAATATACAAGGCAATTCTCTTAAAGTTTATAAGCTGTTTCATTAAATATTGGGCTAGCACAAACATTATAGGATGAATAGTAGGTGGGGAAAAGAGGGCTTATTCACACTGGCCAGTTGCTTCAACCATTTTTGGACTGAAGAAATAGACAACTGGCTTACTATTAATTTACTAACAATTTTCAAAGAACACATTTTTCTGCTGCACTTCCACATTATGGAGAGCACCTGTCCACTTTGAAGTTTTGGGATTAATAGGAATGGATGGATGAGCAGAGATAACATGAGATTATTGGCAATTTCTTCCTCTCTAACAGTTTTGTTCTTCAGCTCCCAACAAACCTCAACAGTAAAAACAGAGGCAAAGAACTATGGGAGTGGAATTCCAAAATATTTGCATAAAGGGAGCAAATAGACCTTGAATGTATGGTCCAATGCTGTGTTACTTTAAAACAGCTAGCAGCTAAATTTCCCCTTTCTTCTTTACTACTCAAGAATAGGTGCAAGATCTCAATCCACTTGGCGATAATAATTTTCATGAAGGATTTTATTGGGGGGTAGGGATCTGTAATTGACTTTTCCAATAACAGATCCATATTATACCTGGATTGAAAGCAAAATGAAAGTAAAAACACCCATAAAAAATAAACCATCTGATGCCCTTTTCCATGTTCTCACCCATGCTTTCTCTTGATTATAACAAAAGCATTGCTGTGTTGTCTTTAAAATAATATATTGCTTGAACATTATTTCAAATAAGGTGGAACTGAGTCTCCTCTGTTAGGTAATCTCAGCTAGCCAATAATATCGTTCTCTATCCTCTTTGAACTTTTTTGCTTCTTTGGAAGGATTGTTCACATCCTGAAGAAATTATTACATTTGGCCCTCACCCAGATAAACGAATCAATTGATTTATTTTATTTCATATATTCTTATTCATAAATCTTTCACTTCTCTTTCACAGCTTTTGTAAACAGGTAAACAAGTCCACATGAAAATTCATGCTTTCTTTCAAAATAATATATGTATTTACAGATCTTTCCTTCTAGCAAAGAAAGCTATTCACACATTTGGATAGCATGAATCTGGTTAATTTATAATCTGCAATTAAAAGTTATCCCTTCACTTCCAACTTTTTTATTATTTAGGTTAATACATGAATTTACTTTTATTAAAGTTGGCGTCACCAATTGTGAGTTGGGCAGCGATATAAGTGGGTTTAATAAATAAATAAAAATGAAACCTTTGCTACTTTTTCTGAAAAATGATAGCTCTCGGATCATGTTTTCCCCTCCAATACTTGCATTTTTAATGATGTGAATATCATCTCTTCTTTCTGAAAAAAAAGCCCAAAAGAACACTTTAAAAATCTTTGGTTCAATATTTCATATCCCCCCTTTTTTTCACACTACTCTATTCATGGCATACCACATAACCCTTACCTTCTTAGTTGGGGCAGCAAATACCAACTGGTAAACATGAGAAAGGGTTAGAAGAGGAGCAGGGCAGTGGTGGGATTCAGCCAGTTCAGGCCAATTCTGGCAAACCGGTTGTTAAATTACTGGCTGGCCCCTCCCCTCCCCAACCCTTCCCCATGCACCCTACTTTGGCTTCCAGGTAAGTGCAGGGAGGCCTACTAACCCAAAACGGGGTGCGGGAGGGGCCCATGGCCCATTTTTGCTCCCAGGGTGGGTGCAGGAGGCTGAGTACTGCCTCTCACATCCCCTGGCCATGGCCACCATGGCCACGCCCACCCAGATGGTTATTAGGGCAGAGAACTGGTTGCTAAATTATTTGAATCCCACCACTGGAGGAGGGTATCCTTTTCTCCAAAGGCTCTGTCTTGCATCTGAATGAGTGATAGGGAGAAGCAAATGCTGGTTCTGAAATGTATTTCAGAGTGTTAGAGTTACATCTCAGTTCCAACAGCGGGGTCAAAAGACGCAAGAGCTCTCCAATTTGCATTAAAATGTAGCATTAACAATCCAACTGCATTAAATTACTTTAAAAAAAAACATGGGAAGGAAATAGTGCTTGATTGCAAGTATCCAACAGAATGTATGTAATCAGAGGTGAAGACAGACAGAATGTCTGAGAGGGGTGAAAGTGGTCTGAGGCTGAATGCCTCTCTGCTTTGACATACAAATGCACAAAAGAGCAAATCTCTCAGCCACTTCTAACATCTTTCAAAGGCTGGAAAGGAAGGATGAATCAAATATATTTTCAGGCTATTTGCATACATTTACT